AAAAAGGAACCCTCATACACTGCTGGTGGGACTGCAAATTGGTACAGCCACTATGGAAAACAGTATGGAGGTTCCTCAAAAAACTAAGAATTCATCTACCATATGATCCAGCAATCCCTCTACTGGGTCTTTACCCCAAAGACTTGAAAACCCATATCCAAAAAGATATTTGCACACTGATGTTCATAGGAGCATTATTCACAGTGGCCAGGACATGAAAGCAACCGAAATGTCCTACGATGGATGATTGGCTAAAGAAGCTGTGGTACATATATACGATGGAATATTATTCAGCCATAAGAAGAGATGAAATACTGCCATTTGCAACAACATGGATAGACCTTGAAATAATCATACTAAGCAAAATAAGCCAGGCAGAAAAGGTTGAAAATCACGTGATATCACATATGTGGAATATAAACCTAAAAGCAACAAATGAACAGGACAAACAGAGACTCATGGACATGGACAATGGACTAGTAGTTCCAGAAGGGAGTGGAGAGGGGGAAATAAAAAAATAAATTGTTAAAAAATATTATGTATATATAGTATGAAAAAAAAACTGTTGTTTTTTGTTTTTTGTTTTTAAAGAACTGAGACTAAATGGCAATGAACAATATACTGCAGCATCATGATGTGGCCCCCCTGCAAACAACTACAACAGGGATTAGAAAAAAGAAAAAGGATAAATTTCTATCCCTTACCAAAATCACCAGACAGAGGTGAGAACAAGGCCAGGAGTAGGGACCAGAACAAACAACAGCATCCACAGCATGGGAAGGGCATGGAATGAAAGGGCAAGTACCAAAAAAAAAAGTTTTGTTGGATACAAGTATGCAAGACCCAGCCTGAGTTAAGGGGACTATCTCTTTAAGAAATACTTCCTTGTCTAGCTCCTTAGTTTGGCTAAAATCTGAAAATACTAATCTATTAAATCAATAAAAAGTGGATTAATAGCTGTCTGTTAACAATGGCTGCTGCAATTCTAGCAATGTGTGTCATGTCTACCAGCAACAGAAACAGCCCCATGAACAGCACACTATTGGGTATCTGAGAGGAAAGACAAGCCCAAAGTGACCTAAGTCTCTTCTAGGTGTTGACCTGGCTGCCCTGAGGCAGAGTCGCTTCCTCCCACAAGGCCCAAGCCAGGATACACAGAAAAGGGCTACAGTCATGCTCAATGTGGGAAAATGCACATGGTTTTGTTTTTTCAACTCAAACACTACAGAATGGAAAAAGATCTTGCTCTTCTCAGTCTTCTGGAAGAAGCTGAGCCCAGTGCCATCTGCCCATGATCTGCTTTCCTCTATTATTTTTGCTCTGTGAGTCCCACTGTACCCATAGTTTGTCCTACAAATACCAGCAAGCAAAATAAGTGAGTAAAATCTTACAAAGTATACACAGACTATATATCAAAAGAATTCTCCAAGAAGTAATGATTGTATCATATCATAATATCTTTATTACTAAAAACATTAAGCATCATATTTGCAAATACCTACTCTGTGTAAAACACTGACCTTGATGCTGTTACAGTGTAAGAGAAAGAAAGATGTGGCCCTAAATTAGAATAGAACACCCAAAGATTCGTTAAAGCTTTGCTATGTTGAATATTGTAGGAAAAACAAAGCACCTGGACCCTTAAAAATTTATCTGAATACAAAATTCTACCTAATCTATCAAAAATCATGTATGAACATAATCGAGAGCTAAAAAAGAACCTAAATAAGAAAAAAAAGAGAACAACTGAGTGGCAAGGGTAGATTTTGATGGGACTTCCCCATGTACATTTTATTAAGTTTATTACATCATACAAAAAAATCTGTGACCTTGAATACACAGAAGAAACAACTGATGAACAGTTTTTCAAGGTAATCTATTAGCAAGTAGAAAATAACATGGCATAAGTAAAATAAAACCTAACTTGGTGGAGGGGGCATTACAGAGTGGTAACAGAATGAAGAGGAAAACCACTTTGGAAAAATTCATCAGAGAAGATTTCTCAAAAATAATTAAAACAAATTTGAAGAAAGGGAGCTGACTGAAATAAATTGGTCGGGCTGGGGCAGGGGAGGTGGAGAGGCTATTTCTCATGGATAACGGACATATTTGCACAAACGCAGAGAATTAAAGGGAAGTAAATCCTACCTGAGAGAGGAAGACAAGTACCAAAGGACCTAGACTGCGGAGAGCAGAGATGGGGATGAGGGCAAACCCACTGGTATTTAAATAACACTGGGGAAATATAAAGCAGCTTTATCCAACGATATCTTTGTTTTTCCCACTACTGGCAACCTCACCTTCCTGTTAGCATCAAGGCTGGAGGCTGGAATCTGCAGGGTTACTTTATACTCTGTCCTTTTGTCCAGTTCTTCTGCAATGTAACTAGCTTCTCTCACCAACAGATTGGCTTTAACAATTTGTTCCCTTAGCCTCATCAGGCTGTTATTCAGTGTTGCTTCTCTTTAAAAATAAAAAAAAAGTGTTGGAGGAAGGGGAGAAAACCATCAAACAGCATATCAGAATTATACAGTACATGATATGTTAAGGCCGAACTGCCAACCAAGCTTTACAACTGTCTTTTGCACACAGGGACTACATTAGCGACATTGGCCCATGCATGCCCTTGTATCTGGGCTACAGGATAAGCCCTGACACACACTCGTGTAACAAACAGGCCCGAGATGAGGGCAGAGCTTTGCAAACCTGACTGTAAACAAACCAGCTGGGGCTCTTGATAACTGAAGAATCTGACTCAGTAGGTCTGCGGCAGGGCCTGAAATGCTACATTTCTATCCATCTCCAGATGACAAGAGATGCTGCCTTTTGCAGACCAAATCTGAACAGCAAGAGGTTAGTTAAGTTCAGTCTGTAACCATGGATAAGACATTTTAGTGTTATGCTAATTAGCCCATACAGAGATCAAACTTGCAATCTGAATCTCATAAGCACCATGCTTTACCTACCTGAGCTAATCAGTCCAGATAACCCATCTTTCTTTTTTTCTTTTTTAAAAAAGCATCTACCCAAGCTTCAGAACCTAAAGCATAATATAATGATACAGTATAACTTCGAAGTACTTGTTCATTCAAATCCAAAAGCCATACAAACTGATAATGGGGCAGCACTTAACATGGGCAGCTTGAAGTAAATCAATATAAATGGACAATTCCCATCTTTTCAAAAATGAAAACAAAAAAAAAGATAATGCCAAGTGGTTCATAGCTGTACCACTCTTTCAATATAATTCTTTTTAAAGTAATGTCTAGATTTTTCTACTGTGTCTTACCTAGGCGGATTAAAGGTGATGAGCATATGCTATGCATGGAATAAAGGCCCCAGGCACCACCTACCTCTCTTCGGCCCACTGTCTCAGGCGCTGTTGAGCGCTGGGTGAGTGGAAAGAGAACCTGTCCACACTCCGACAGTTTTGTTTCTCAGGAGACAGCCTTCTTCGTAGCTGGTCCAGTTCATGTTCATACATGAGCCTCTGGCGCTCTAATGCAGACCGTTTTTCTTCTTCGTGCTGTTGTTCTAGGCTGTTCAATATTGACTGCATTGGATCTGAACAAGATTTTTTATAAAAAGGTAAATAATAAACAAAAGGTAACTATACAACACAATATACTCCAAACGTTATTCTATATTGTTGTTTGTTATCCAAGTAAAATAAGATTCTTAAACACAGTTTGGAGTAAACTTAGTCTTCCTTACTCCCAATTACTTGTATTATCTAGTCTGTCAGACATATGCTAAACTGTCTTCCATACAGAAAAAGTAGGTCTATTATATATTCCACACAAAACCTAAGACATGGGTAATGCTCCAGAAATCCACTACAACAAATAATGAACCAGTGGTAGCAAAGTTTCAAACCTGAGAAATTCTATCAATGAGAAAAAAGTTTGCAGTGATCTGTATATCAAGGCAGAAAGAATGTAAGTTTTTAAAAATACAATAAATTAAAGCCAAAGACCCAAAAGAATAGAGTTCAGAGAACAACCTAAAGATTTTTGTTAACATTTGAAAGATCTGTCATAAATGCTTTTAACTCTCGACCAACTTTAAGATTCTAAAAGGCACGACAGATTCGCTCACCATTATTGCTCAGAGCCTTCATGGTCACCTCCATCTGTGCATATTCATAATTGAAGTTGATTTCACTGGACACCTCACTTGAGGAGTCTCCATCTACGTCCAGCTGCTCAGAACTGGTATCATTCTTCATGGAGGTATCTTGTTCCTCATCCTCTCGATCTGTTTTCTTTCTCTTTTTAGGCAAATTCAATCTTGGGGAAAAAAAGAATATTTTGTTTTTTTAAAAAAGATATGCACTCATTCATGTCATTTATTAAATAATGGTATTTGCTAGATGCCAATGAGGATGCCATGTAAGTATAAGGCAATTACGGTATTCAGAAAGTTTTTACTCTAGCAGCAGAAATGAAAGACACACATGCACGAATAATTATGACAGTATGTAAAACAAGGCCACGTGACTGTTACAAGCTAGGTGTTAAAGAAAAGCTGAGGACCACTTGAGAATGAAATAATAATGGAAGGGGAAGTTATTTGAGCTGAGCCTTAAAGAATAAGAATAAAACAGGGCATAGTGTAGAGGGAAGAGCATGAGAAAAGATGTGGAAATGGACACTCACAGTCTCTGGAGAAGTTATTAATGAAACAACAGAGGGATACACAAAATTTTTATAGCAGAAGTTGTAAGGGACAATGCTGGAAAGAACAACTTAACCAAACAATGAAGGCTTTGAATACAAAGCCAAGAAATTTATACTTGATTTAGCAAGATAAGGGAAAAATAAAAAATATTTTCCACACACTTTGTATTCCTCTATCCTTCCATCAATAATCGAAATATCAACTGGCCTACGAGCAAAGGATCTCCATGAGCTATAAGAAAAATCAGTTGATATCTGAAGCACAGTGACCAATGACAGGAAGAGGAGTAAACCAGGACTTTAATTTTATACACTGTCCAGCCCGCCTTTCCTTGCCAACACAATGCCAATTTTGTATGGGATACAATGTGTGCAGTCCCAGGTCAGACACTTTCTTTCTCAGCCTCCTTCTCTGCTAAGAGGCAAATTCTAGCAAATAAGACGTAAGAGGAAGGTTGCTGGGGACTCTGTGAAGACTTCTGGAGTGGCATGGCCCCTTTAGATCACAGGGAAATGCCAAGACAATGACAAGACTTCTGCCATGACATTTTTCGGGGGCTTAGCCAATGCCAACAACCACTTTCCTTCAGATTTCTTATTTTGTTAGAGAAATAGACTATTTAAGCCACTATAGTCAAATTTGTCATTATCTGCAACAAAAAGCATTGCTAAATGAAATACAAACCTTATCTTACGGATAATGAAACTAAGACTGCTACTTTTCCAATTAAAAAAAAAGAACAAATAAAAAAATAAGATGTCAGAAAAAGAATTAATGCATTCTTATACCAGATGGCAAAACAATTATCTTCCACTGAGAAATAAAAAGAAAAAAATATGTATGTAAACTAAGTATTTTTCCTGAGTATATTGTTCACATGATCCTTGGGCTTAAACCATATAGTGAACAAACATATATATAAATATATGTATATATATATATATAGTGAATAAATACATATATAGTAAATAAATAAATGTACACAAAACAATGCATAATTTTTATGGAGTTAAATTTACTTTTCAATATATATTCTTATATTTCAGAATCTCCAATAATCTCTCCCTCTGTAAGAGCCATGAATAGTGTCATACCTAAAGAAGTGGTTGTTTCCCCATAACACCCTGTCCCCGTGGTGTAGCTGTATAGGACTGGATACAGAAGAGCCATTCACGAATGTTCTGTGGGAGAAAAGGCCAAACATGTAAACAATGATTATCATGTCTTCTTTAATTTTCCAATACTAAACAGATCTAGTTACTAGGGAAAAAAAAAAAATGAATTTTCACAAATAAAACCTTGGTGAATTTTATTATTTACATTTACTTCTTTGCTGATTTACCTAAAATGCTTATGGTACTAAGTATAAACAAATTATTACCCTCTATTTTTCAAAGTTTTAAATTTGTCATATAACATATTAAGGAGTAAACATGGAGCCATTACGACCAATAATAAAAAGATGGTAGCAATATACCTTACAACTGAGTATGTCCAATCTCATGGATAAAAAGAGTCAATCAACCAACTAGACTCTAAAAATATCTACAGACAACAGAAATAAGAAATGAGACCTATGTTAAATTCTTTTGTAACTGACTTCAGCATAGAAAAATGTCCATATCCTATTAATATGTAGAAGATTTATTAGGTCTACTTAACTGCTTATCTTGACAATGGAGTTCACCAGAAGAAATGGTAGGTAGAAGGATATCAAAGGAAGAATTTGGAGGGGCAGGAAATAAGCAGAAAATCATGCATACCACTATGAAATTTATATCCTTGGATTACCACTGTCATCATGCCTCTCCTGGTGAGTGACTCGTCTGCTTAGACACAGGATGAAAGTCAAGTTCTTTAACTTGACATTACCAGCCCCACAAAAGGAAACCTCTTTATGTCCTCCTTTCCCTCTTCTAGGGAACTCTCAACTCCAGCAAAAAAAAATGTTTTGTCCACTACGCATGACTGACTCTTCCTCCAAAGCCAGGTTTACACCAGTCCCACAACCTGAAATAGGGTTCCTATTCCTCTCCATGCCCCCCAAATCTTACTCAGCTCTCAAAGCCCAGTTTGGTTTCCACTTCCTATGAAAAGGCTTCTCATCACTCCGGCTTATAGTATCTTAGTTTCTTTAAATCCCTAGAGCGCTTGCCCAGCTTTATATTGCTAGTTATTTTTTATATAAATGCATACACACAAAACCTTACTCTCTCTATAGATTTCACTTATTATGTGGGTTTTTTAAACACCAGAAGTACTCGGTCTTTATACTCCTATAGTCTATTTATTCAAAGCACGAGCTCTATAAACAAAAAGTTATGAGAAGAAGGGACCTACTAAAATTAGTGGATCTTAGCCTTTATGACACAAATTCCTTAAATATAATGAGGAATTTAATTTATGGTAAACACAGCAGTTAAGCCATGGTTAGTAAATAAAAACATGGATATAACAATAATTCTCAAAGTGTGGTCTGTGTTGGGTACTCAAGATGAAGCTATTTTTTTAACGCCTATCCTGCCTTTTTTCACTACATCGACATTTGTGTTGGCAATGAGTAAAACTGCTGGTGTTTTAACACACATCAAGGCCATAGCGGCGAACTTCACTAGAGGTCACTACCACACACTCACAATCTAAAAAATGTTTCATTTGTGAGTACCCTTGATGAAGCAGTAAAAATTATTACTTGTATTAAATATTGACCCTTGAGTACACAACTTTTTAAACATGTCAAATTGAGAAGTACGCAAAAAAAATGTGTTAACACAAACCAAAGTAGGATGACTGTTTCAGCAAAAGACATATACGAAATGGTTTTCTGGGAGACATTTTCTTGAAAATGAACAAAGCCAGCCCGTTGCTTCAAGGAAAACAATTGACAGTATTTGTTGCCAACTGTAAATTTCAAGCTTTCAAGTGAAAAATGAGAGTTTTGGAAAACTTGTGTCAATGTCCTCCAACCAAAGACCACAGAAACATTCCTGCAGTTGAACAAGTTGGGTTTACTACTCACACAGAGGGAGAAGATATGCCATAAGCCTGGGGCGTCTCAGAAAGAGGGTGCTGGGAGGAGCTGTTGCAGGATTTGGACTGTAGCTGATTTGGGAGCAGATCTAAGGAAGTGGTCCTCTATATGCTGTCAGGAAGCAGGAGTAATTCTGTGATTGGGTAGTTCAAAAACCTTACCTATAGAGGGGAGACTAGCATGAGGACAGAGTTGTAATTGGTGAAGAAGTCAGTCAGCCAGGAAAAGGCGTTTGGTATTTTGGTATGTGGCATTGTGACCTTGGTTTTCGTCTGTGCTGAAACAAAATTATTATGTGGCCTGCTCTGTCTTATTTTATCATGGCCTCAGAGTATCCTTGCCTGAGGCTGTATTCTGTGAGATTATTTAACAGGAGAATAGCAAGCCCTGGCTGAGAGTCCCGGGCCAGCTTCTGCTCTTTTTCTTTTTCACTTATATCCTTCACCATACACTTGAACGTTTCTCAATATTTAGACATTATAGATGAAATTAGTGATGATATTAATGATTTTTTGAAATCATATAATGAAATGTATCAACATTCGGAAGATCAGTATAAGTTTACTTTAATCATCACCCAAAACAGTGTAGACAGTTATGGAATAGGGCAATAACACTTTATAGCTTAAGAAAACACACCAATAAACAATTTAATAATGTTGTACCTCTTCATTCATTCATTACTTATTGAGCACCTATATCCTAGTCTATTACATGCTAAGGATACAGAATGAAGAAAGAAAGATCCTTTATAAAGGAGCTCACGGTCAAATGTGTTAATAAAGGTTAACAGCACAGAAGAATACAATACAAAAGGTTAACATAATGGGAAACATAAAGTGCACTGGGAATATATACCAGGGGCTCTTAATTTAGACCAAACAGGGAATTCCTCAAAGTAGATAATGACAGTTTAACCTTGAAGATCAAACAGGAGTTAGCTTGTCAAAGGAATAGCAGATGCAGAGGAATAGGAGAAAAAAAATAAGGAATTTTGTATCAAAAATAGTAGAAAGTCATCTAGTGATACAGCAAGTGGACCAGAAAACAGATTAGGATGCTGGCAGGGATTCTAGTCAAGATCTGATAAGGGCCTTATTTAAATAAGGCTGAGGTGGTGGGTATGAAGAGGAAGAGAGGGGTTTAAGAGATATTTAAAAGTTCATTTAAAGGACTTGGTAACTAACTGGGTATCTTCATTAAGTGAACTTAAAAGTAAAGAAAGGCTAAAAGTCCTATACACCATCTGCAAATAGTGCACTTTCTTCTTCTTAAAAATTGTTGTGACATTAACACTAATTAAAGTACATTACCTGGTGTTCTTTTGAGGAGTCAGCATAACCTGGCCTTCTGGTGTGATGTCTATAATACAATGTTCAGGAAGAATTCCCATTCCACATAGTTGGATATCTTGGGAATTTGCTGAACCTATCAATGTATGTTCCTACAAAGGAATCGAATTCACTGATTAATATTGTATTCTTACGTGCACAGAAACTAAAATCATCTACTCTGAGCCTCTTACACTGATCCATTATCTTAGCTAAGAGATTTTTAAAATAAATGGAGTAGTAGGGGGAATTTCTGTCTTTTTCTGAAAATCATTCTACACGTTTTATTTCCTTATAAGGAATAATGCACTGAGTTGAGTTATACCTTTTGAACCTAAAATTATAGTTTTACATTCATGTCTAAACTATATTCATTATTTTCCACAGCAATGTTCATTCCAAATATTCCATACTACTCTCAGAGCATGAGACATATGACAATGATGTACCAAAGAAATTGGTCTGAAAACTAGTTACTTAAGTTGTACATTACTTACCTGATCTCAATTGAGATGAGTTAACTACAGAGATAAAATGCTATTCATATATAAAGAGTTTGAAAAGACTAAAATTATTTTATGAATCACATGGTCTCTCTAAACCTCATGAAAGATAAAAGAGATGTGTTCTTCTTACCATAGACCCCCAATTACTCAATTCTTTTAGCCCCAATCACCAGCCTCACTTTTTTGCAGGTAACTGAGAAAATTGACATTCAAATTGAGTTCCCTCTTTTGAGCTTCAACATTTGACTGCCTGTCCATGATTAAATGTTGACATGACCTGGATGTGTCCCTAGGCCACCTTCTCCTTTTACACACCTAGATCAGGGGCCAGATAGGAAATATTTTAGGCTTTGTGAGTCACATGGAACTACTTAACTCTGCCCTTGTAGTACAAAACCAGCCAGACATACACAAATGAACAAGTGTGTACACTTTCCAATAAAACTTTATTTATGAATAGTGAAGTTTGAACTTCATATAATTTTTACGTGTCTGAAATACAGATTCGTTTGACTTTTTTTAACCATTTAAGAAATATTAAAACCATTCTTAGCTCCCAGGCTATATAAAAACAGGCAGGAAGCTAGATTTAGTCTGTGGGAGCAGGTTGCTCACTCCTCCATGACAATCTCATCCAGTCTCAAGGGCTTTAAGTAGTGTCCACACATAAGCCATATCACCAACTCAAAACTATAGACTTTGGTTCCATTATTTTCGCACCTCTACTACTATACCTAGTTTCAGTCATCATCGTTTCTTGCTTACTTGGATCAACTTAGATGTCTAAAGATATTTCAAAGTGAAAGGGCCAAACTAGAACTTTTGCTCCCACCCCCCGCCCACCTATTCTCTTCCCTAATAATAATGGTACTACACCCACCCACTGAGTCCACTTAAAAGCTCAGATGCTGTCTTCGAGTCCTCTCAACCCCATACCAGCCTACCCCTAGGCCCATGTCAATCAGAAATCCTTACAGACTCTTCTTCCAAAACATATCAAAACCATCTCCTTTTTCTCACTTCTACTATCACATCCCAGTCTCTTGCCTGAGTGAATACAAAAGCCTTCTACTATTTTTCCCCTTCTGTTTTTCCTCACTCCCATCCTCTTCTGCGATAGCTGATCATGAGATTCTCCCTATTTAAAACCCTCTAGTAGCTTCTCTTTGACCATCTAATGAAGTTCAAATTCTTACCTAGGCTTATAAAACCCTCTGTAACGTGGCCCCACCTACCTCTTATACTAGCTCCTCTCGCTCTTTCTCCTAGAGCAAGATTTGGCCACGTTGGCCTCCTATCTGTTCTTTGAGCACACTGGCTGTTTCTGTCTGAAATGTTCTTCTGATCTTGACACTGGCAGTTTCATATCATTTCTATCTCAGCTTTTAAGGGCACATCCTCAGAGAGGTGTATCCTGAACTGACCATCAGAAATAGCCAGCCTATCACTCTCATATTTGAATTCCTTACATAGTACTGACTGTTCGTGAGGTTACTGTTATCTCCAGAGCGCGCATGGAAACTCCATGAGAGCAGAGAACGCCTGACCTGCTCCTCACTGTAATCCAATCACTTAACACAGGACTGGCACACGAAGGCATTAAATAAATATAAAAGAAGAATAAGTGAACCATCATTTCCCTTTCTCTCCTCTTCTTTGCCGGTGACCCTTCTAATTATGATCTGGGTTCTAATTCTTCCCATCTCTTTAAGGATATCGACCTCATTAAAAAGGCCTATTCCCCTCTGGTATTTTCATTTTCTCCTTTTCTGGGGTTTCTTCGCTCAAATATATTGCAGTGGTGTTTCCAAGGAAACAAAGAGCTAGAATCTAGAACTATCCTATGGTATCTAATTCAATCCTCAAGGTATGTATATACATACTATAATCCCATTTCTGTAGTTAAAAAATATGTATCAGTATAAATCTATACATATACATACAGGGACAGATCCAGAGGACAGATAAAAATATTAAATATTAACTGTGGTCATCTCTGGGTGTTGGAATTTGGGCACTAATCTCCCATCCCAATCCCTTTTCTAATATGTTTATGTAAAACTTTTTAGAAAGAAAAAAGTATGTTACTACCGTAATGTTTTTAAGGTGAAGGGAGCAGCTCTTCCCTCTAGAAGTTTGGCTTGTGTTGGAAAGAATCTCCAAGTTTTCCTCGGAAAATTCCAGGCAGACCTCACTTCGCATGAGAGTGTGGGATATTAAAAATAATTGTGCAAGGAGATCCTAATAATCACTGGGAAAAATTGCAATTATTCTCTGACTTTTAAAAATGCCTGTAATAACATTAAGAATTCTCCTATTATTATACTATGTAGAGAAATTTAAAAAATAGTAAAACTAGTATTACTAGTATTATTTATTACTGGTATTAATTAGAAACACTGAAACCTAACGCATTTTATTTCTTTGTAAAAAGCTCATCCAGAGTTGTCTGAAAAGTGCGTGCTGCTGCCTTCTCAGCACGTAGCTTACACTATGGAGCGAGCATATTTCCCATGCCTTGGCAAACTATCATACTCCTTTCCAAGCTTCTATCATTTTATCCTTTGTGCTTTCGATGTTGCAAAATATATCTGAGCACTCCTTGTCTGAGTGTTTTCTGATGTCACTCCCTTCACACATCTTTATTCTTATCATTACTACCACTTTCATTATTTACATCGTAAATTCACCTTCACTCTATTCCTCTGGCTGAGTATCCAGAATCTCATGAATGGCGGCAGTGTCAACATCACTGGAATTTGTGTATATCAGAACCATGCAAAGAAAGGACTGCTGTGCATACAAATTAGGTGCAAAATTATCTTGAGAGCTATGTTCTATATATGGTTTGGCCACCATACCTTGCCAGTTCTAGACAAAACAAATAAATGAAAGATTTCTGGAAGAGCACCATACAACATGGAACTAGAAAGAATGTTAGAGATATTTGAATCTAGTACCCTTGTTTTACAGATGGGATGTCTAAAGTCACCCAGAAATGTGATGTCATCTGCCCAGCATCTAAACTGATTTGAGATTTTGAAAGCAAAGAAATAAAAAATGCTCGGTCTCCAAATTCCTCCAACCCACATCGTGGTATCACTTTACTGAAGTAGAAACTGTTCTTTGACTGAGATCATCCTTTTGAATGTGCTTGGTCATGAATATACTCTTATCATGGGGTTAGGCTGGGCAGTGAAGAAATCAACACTGCCTCAAATTCTGCCAAAACAGAATTGACCACACAGTCTGAAACAGAATCCCAACACCTCCATACAAGATGACCAGAAATATTCTGACTATTCTCCAAAAGTCTTTAAATAGTTTCTTTGTTTAAGTTTTCAGTTAAGGAACAGATATGAATTAGGTTTTTTCTTGTTGGGTGTATGTGTTTGTGTGTTCCAATCTGAAATCACCACATCAGAAAGAAAAAGAATTCATAGTTCTGACAAACAAAAGGGGCAGAATATTTAAGTCCTATTCTAATATCCTTTAAGCTTTAAAGTTACCTACTTAACTCCCTATAAGCTAATGAAGCACTTACAAAAAGGGGTGCTTCATATAAATCACAAAAGCTTTAGTTACTAATGAATCATTTAATTTTAAAAGTCATTCTTTAAGCTTTAAAGTTATCTACTTAACTTCCATGTGCTACTATTAAATAATTGCTAAACTACTTAATTTGTTAGAAATGTAAGAATATCATTTTTTATATTACTAAGTTGAATAACATCAATCAAAAACTAAAAAGGAAAACTATTCCAGAAACCAAAGATTTTTCTACATTCCAGCTTATTCAAATAAAAATAATTTGCTAATTCATTATTTGTGAATAAACATAGTTCACCAGGTTTTCTGAAAAATGCTGTGAAGCATTGTTTCATTTCGTGCCAGGAGACATTAGGAAGGCCTATTATCTCACCTTTAAATAGTAAACCAGAAGTTCATTCAGAGCGGGATCAGCATTCAGATTAACAAGGAAACATTTATCATCCCCAACTTTAATTCCAGAAGATTGAAGGGATATTCCAAGACTCTCAAGTTGTTTCTGTCGCTCCTGTAAATGAAAAGAAGTGTTAATTCTGCAGCTACTGAAGCAGTTGAGATACAAAAGGTCTTCTTATGTTAGAGTAATCATTGAATAACTTTATAATTCAAATACGTTCACTTAGGACATGGTATTATAGATTATTGCATTTTTTCTCTTTCCAAACTATATAATGTTATTTTATTTTGTTAATTAAAACATTTTTATTTGGAAAAATAAAGTCATTACAAATAGCAACCAAGTGTACTACTGAGTTCTCAAGTTTCATTCTTGAAAATATCTAATATCTTGAACTCATCTTTTGAATTTAATTCTGTATATAAGAGCAAATTAAGTGTTTTACTCAACTGTGATATTGGTGAAAAGCCAAGTTTTCAATACATTCTCCTGCTTGATATCTTCAGTGACTCCCCAGCCAGGATAAACAAAGTCCACAAGGCCCTTTGATCTGGCCCATTCACTCCCTATCTTTACATCTGTCACTCCTACTCTTAAAGCCTGTACTTCAGTTATATGGAACATCTTCCAGATGGTTGAGGGTGTCAAGAATGCTCTCTTTAGTTGAAGAGATTTTACACCTGGCTTTTCTATCTGAAGCATACTTGTTCTCTCACTTGGTAACTGTTTACTTGCCCATTTCTCTATGAGGGCATGGATCCTGTCTTTTTATTGTGTACTCCTAGCAATTAGCACAATGCATAAAACACAGTGAGCACTCAAAATGTTGGTCTTATAAATTTATCAAAATAAAACTTGTATATGCTTTCAAGTACTATTTTCATAAGGATACAAACCTTAAAGAAGGTGCCTACTGTCTCTGATTCCACACAATATATGAATGTATACATAGAGGGGGATATATATGAATCCTACAGCCAATGCCCTGTGATTAAGGCATATGGATTGGGGCAACAGGGTGTCTGACTATGTATAAAGAACAAGTAGTAATGAGTTACAGCCACCAAGAACCTTTGATTTTGGGGAAAGGCAAGGCACACTGAGTCATTTAATGAGGGGCACACAATAAATTTGTAGTACAATTAAATTACAGTCACAGAATTTTGCTATATCTAAGGATATCACCCTAATTCATATGGCCACTACAATCCAGTCAACACACCGCACCTAGAAGTATATTATTACAAAAGTAGAGAAGGGGATATTTTGGTTCTGGGTATTTGAATCAAGTCTCTCTTCTAACAAAAAACATTATTGGTTTTTTTCAGAAGTTTCAAGTATTTTAGCACTAGACATTAGATTTTCAGCACTCAGTTCTAAGAAATGGTTATCCTTAATAGAGAATCATGTTCCTAACATGAGGAAAACAATTCTGACATATTTTGTCTAATACTTTCTTAGGGAAGGTTTTCTTACATAGCAACCTTGATAGATAATTAAAGAATGATTTCAATAAGAAGAAACGTTTCTCTATAAAAATGTCTTTTTTGTAAACTAGCTCATCAACTAATATTAAATGAAAAATGTAGGTTATAAATTAGTATATCAATTTATGCACTAAAAAACCTAAAAAAATGCTCAAAGATATTAACAGTTTTTTCAGATGATTAGATCCTAGTTAATTTAAATTTTCTTTGTAATAGTCTTTCTATATTTTCTATAAGTAAATACTACTTTTGTAACACAATGTTTTCTCCTACTTATACTCTTATTATGACTCTATTAATTCTCATAAAAAGACTTAAAATGGCAGACTGGATTTTGCCTAAGGGCATATTTGCCAACCCTTAATCTATGTCAAGGTTTTGATATGTATGCATTTCTTAAGTGTGCATTTCTTAATGAGAACAGAAAAGATGAAAATAAGAGACAATTTGGTATTGTAGATATGGTGTTAGTCAACAAGTTATGCTTGTTTATTTGGAAATATTTCTGAGCATACACTTAAAAAACAAAAAAATACAGCCTTTTTTCTTGAGAATCTTATAGTCTCTGAGTAATAAACCTATACATGAAAAATTGAACAATAGTAAAGTATTGCATAAATTAAAGGTCAAAAGGGTATAGATAGTTTCCATAGGAATTCAGGGCCAGGATGACCCTGGGTAATAAGAGTCTCATAGGGCTATTGGAAGGCTTAAATAAAATACTGTATTTAAACGTGCTTAGCATAGGGCCCAATACATGTGTATCCAATAAATATTGGTTATTATTATTATTAGTTGTTACATACAAGTGGGACACTTATTCTCTTAGCTTTGGAAGAACAAACTAAGGCCAATGAGCAGAAATGAAAGAAAGATCTGTTAAGCAACTACTATCAGAGCCATCCAATCACATCTAGTCACATCTTCCTAGAACAAGCTGAGCAAACCATCTAACTGGAAAGCTACAGCATTAAGTCTTTCATTACGTAGGCAGCTGGACACTTAAGGAATCTCTCCAAATGCTAATGTTCTCATCCTAAGATTTCACAACTCAATTATATTGTGTTCTAAAAATGAGAGACAGTCACCTCAAATTTCGGTATTTCACATTATTTTTACTGAGTTGTGACATGGAAGTCAGAATCTCATAACCTAATATCTACTACTAATAATTTTGTAGTTTGGCTAAGTTCCTTAGGTCTTTAAAGCGCTTAACAGAATTGGATGTTCAGAGCCAGAGACTACAAAGTAGTTATTTCATTAAAAAAAATTTCATGACCCTTCAAAATTATTTCTGACATAATGAACAATTAATTGTAATTATGTCTTTATCCTTCAAAGTAACTCTGTACAGTAAAATATGAAGTATTGGATCTCTATACTTATTAATGGTGTTAGATTTGCCATCTTCGAAGCTAAAAATCAAAGAACCAGAAATACTATTGGAGTTGCACTGCACACACCACCACGAAGTTTCTCTCTTCAATCGGGAAGCACAAACCTGGGCAATCTCCTCAGTTTTCCTTAATTTCTCCTCCCAGGTCACAGTCATTTCCTGGATTAGCTTCTCTGATTCTTCCAGCCGGTCTTTTAGCTCGGGAGATTTCATTGCCTGTAAGTAAATGTTTATTCCATGAAATGTTTGTACAATGCCCTGAAAAAAGAATCAGATCAATCCAGAAGGGCAAAAGTAACAATCTGCCTCCTCTCAGCTGTACGGCTCACTGAGGTCTCTGATCTACCTAAGACATAACTGTCACCAACGCTCAGCAACCCGACTAAGCGGGTCCCACAAACTCATCCAGTTATCCAAGGTGGGTTTGAAAGGAAGACTCAGTCTTTCCTTTTCCTCCAACCTACTGTTATTGTAAAGATCTCTAATTACGTTTAAGGAGATAGTTCAAGCTATCAAGGGGTTATTTTTTAAATCCCAATAGGACATATGCCTAGACTCATATACATAATTCATTCTAGTCTTTATTGATGACTTCAGGTATTTTATTCAACTACATATGGACTAAATTTGTACATGTTGCAAACTGGATGGTTTGCAACATGTACAAATTTAATACCTGGAACACAGAAACAAAATTTCAAAGAATTTTGATGAATTGTAAAATTATTTCTATAATAGTATAAATAGTATAAAATTCTACAGGCAAAAAAACAATCAAGATAATTGTTTTGACCATGTATTTTACTGATTAATCACCAGAAAATGGTTTATGACAAAGAAGAAGGCTATGGTCTCAGCCCCAGGAAAGAGTCCCACAGGGCTAAGAAACTGTGGGGGGAGAAATGTTAATTAAAGCAGGGATCCTGAATCTATTATTTTATTCCTCTTTTGACAAGAGGAGGAGCATTTGGTTGTAGGTTAGATTGTGTAGGTTTCATATTTAGCAATGAAATATAAATACCTATCGTGGAGATAGAGTACCAATAAACAGATGAGTATTTCTGCTATAAAATGTTTTCTACGAACAACTCACAAAACGGAAAAACTAGATTAAGGTGTGAAAGACTTCCTTAAGATTTCCATTCTGACCTCAACCAGTGAACAAATGAGAAAACAAAAATCTTCTTCCGATTAGTCTATACCCACTCTCCACCATTTTCTACACTAAAATTAAATTATATACACTTTGTTCCAAGCATCTCTCTTTCTCTCTCTTACTCTACTATGCCTCTTCTCACCTGTCAGCTGCCTATACTGTGGAAACATTCTCTCAATTCCCTTTATTCTCTCCTCCTATTGAAACCTTAAACACCTGTAAAAACTTTCTAAATTTCAACTGACAATCTGTCTTCCTTTATCCATTACCCATCTCAAATTTCTCTTCCTATAGGAAATTCACAAATTCTGGGTGAAGTACTCATCACTCATGGCTAAGGGGTAGAAAATTCAAGTTCTAGCTTTACTAGATTTTCCTAGACCCATAACGCATCACTCGGCCGTGCCTTCTACCTCTGCTTTGGTTAGCTGCTCTCGGAGTTTTTCCACTTCTTCCCGGAGATCCCGGATAATTCGTGCATTAGGATCCTCATTCACCACAGCATGGTTCACGATGTTCTTGGCGCGATCTGCATACCGCAGAGTTGAAAGGGTTTCGTCATAGTTATCAGCTGCCGGACTCACAGTTGCTACCATGGCTGTCTTGCTGTTACCCCCAAGACTGTCCTAGAGGAGAAGAGAAATTGGGAGGCACTTTAAAGTTAGAAGAAAGCATTATATGAGAAAGCTGAAGTCGGAAATGGTAAGATAAACTCCCAAGATCAAAGGTATATTTAAAGACAAAGTCAGGACTAAAATACAGGAATGCTGATTACCAGTCCCATGCTCTTTCTTTTCTCCCAAGCTACTTTTCTGCAAAAAAGAAATTTTGGTTTTTGAGAAAGGACAGGGAAATACAGTGAAGTCTACATTTATTTTAGTTTAATAAAAATTAATTCTAAGTTAATTTGTCCTCTATTAACACACAACATGATATAAGTTAGCAGACTAATCAGAATAAAAGAGGATGATTTCTCTAATGCTTACAAAATCTCCCTTGGAGGAATTGAATGACTGTGCTATTATTTGCTATTTGATCAAAGAGTGATTACTTACAGTCTACTCCATAAGCCAGGTATTTGGAATCTCTGAGAAGCCTAAATAATGGCTCAGAAAGTGTTGCTATAAGCTATCAAGCACCTTGTAAATTTTTTAAAAACATAATTGTACCATAAAAAGATGCAATTCCAGTCTTATAAAACAAAAGCTACACTGAAGGTACTTCATATTATTCCCTCTGATAGCACTACAAAAACTACTAAAACTGGCTTCATGTTTTACACAACCATTTCTACAGTCTAGACAAGGGTGCTGAAAAAAACTCATCTTCATTATACTAAAACTGGCAAGAAATGAACTTTAGAACAAGCTCTAGCAAATTCAAAAAAACTACTTTTGCTTAAGAATATTAAAAATAACTAGACATAACTTGGAATTATAAAACTAGATTGCAAGTCCAGTCCACCCCAACCTAGTGCACCATACCACAGCTGTGGCAGGCAGCCTCTAAGACGGTGCCCAACGATGCCCACCTGGCAGTCCTGCCCCTGTATCACCCCCGTCCCTTGAATGTGGGCGGGACTTGTTGATTTGCCTCTAAGGAATAGAATATAGCAGATATGATACCATGTCCCTTCTGAAATTAGATTATAAAAAGATTGTAGCTTCTGTCATGGGCACTTTCTCTCATTCTGGGGATAACTGCTGCCATGAGGTGAGGTGGCCCTTTGAAGGGACCACAGGGGTGAGTTTGGGAACAGGTCTTCTGAAGCCTGCCAATAACCAGTTAGGTGAGCAGATGTGACCCCGGTCAAGCCTTGCAATGACTGTGGCCCCAGATGACACTTTGATTGCAGTCACATTGAGACATGGCAGACAGAACTACTCAGTTAGGCCTGACCCACAACCCTGACCCATAAAAACTGAGAGATAATAAATGATTGTTGCATCCAGCTGTTATGATTTATGGGCAATCCAGTATATACCAATAGATAACTACTAATGCACTAATATACCATACTAGAGTGAGAGGAATTACCCAAAAGAACAGATTAAGTACCCTCTGTCAGTAACAGAATATCACTGAATTTTAGATTCTGAAGATTGGAGAGAATATTCAAACAAGCCACTAATGAGGAATTCATTAGATCACACGAAAGTCAACACAACCTTTGGGCAGCATTAATCAATATAAAATTCTTACTTTTGAAGATATAAAGTTTTCCCAATATCAATATATTGAAAATTTGTTTGAGCAATCTGTGATTTACACACTCTTTGTGTATAGACTTTACTTAGTCCTCAGTCTTTTGCGAATTTTGGATTCTTTATAGCCTATTTTACTGATAAAAAAAGACCCAGAACCTAGTCCAGTTGTGTTCTGCCTTCAACCCCATGATTTCCGCTCCTCAATAGCCACCCACGATAACACAGTAACGAAATAACACCTGGCAATTCAGAGTTCAGACCTGAGGAATAAGTGTCCTGACACCTTCTCAAATTATTTTGTCCTAGTGCCAGAAACAAAATAGTTCCATAAGTATTCCCAACAGTGATATAATCACAGACGATATGTCCGCTTATTCATCCATTACTGAAAATTTGGTTTTCCACAGAAAACACAACTAAGATAATATATCTTTGAAGAAAATACACGTTAATGGATGGAAAGAAATATAAATAATCTGGACTTTAGGAAGCAAAGTGATTTCTGTGAAGCTGTTTCACTCTTCACTTCTAGACGCTGATCTCACATTGTTGGTGACCAGCTTTGGCAACTTCCAGAAAAATGTCAAGAAGGATCCCATACACATTAATGAAATTCCAATGTCATATATAAAGATCAGAGGAATTACATCTCAGATTGCAATTCAGTTCACTAACAAACACCGTGGCTGAGCGCTGCCCTTCAAGATTCGCTGCATTCTATTAGCCCACAGGAACAGCAAATGCTACTGGGCAAAAGGGGATATGTGACAATAAGTACCAAAGGAGAAAAGCATGCACATTGTGCTTCAATTTGTGCTGAGAAAAGGAAACCTGGCAAACAAAAAATACTTGACATTTTAAAAGCCCTTGTGCATGAGCAACAACAATACGCTTATATGCAAAAATGACCTCAGGCCATTAGCAAAAAGGAAATGGCAACAAAAGACCTGGCATTCATTCAAGGAGAAAGTATAAAGCTTCTTGTTACTTTTTAATTGTTTAATTAGGCAAATCAGTTGAGCTTTGTTTCTAATGTAGCAACTGCCAATTAAATGGGCATAGGGAAGAAATTTAATTTTGGAAATCAGAATTTCTTAAAACTGAAAGAACTCTTTGAAGCCATTTAATCAAATTATTTCATTTTACAGATGAGCAATTGAGACCCAGAAAGACTGACGGACTTACCAGAGGTCATAATGCTAGCTCAGAGCAGAGCTGAAATTATTCATTCGTTCAATACTTCACGAAGTTTATCATCTAGAGGGCACGGGCGATGCTGGTGAGCAAATACTATATAAGAACTAAAGAAGGGATAAATACAATAGAGTCTGGGAAAACAGACAAAGAGCAGAAAGCCCAGTCTTGAAAGGTTAGGAAAGACTCCCAGAGAAAGTGACATTTGAGACCTTAACGTGAATTATCATCGCCCAGGTAAAGGGGACGGGGAGGAACGTAGGAGAGAAATTGAAGAGAAGAGGAAGAATGTTCCAAACAAAGTAAGAGCAAGTCACTTAGCCAGAAGTCACTTAACTAGAACTGATAATATCAAGAGCAAAAGATGAACAATGAGAAGTAGAAAGGGAACAGATTACCCGGGGCCTAGTAAATCACAAGTTATTAATGAATTTGGACTTTATCATAAGGGCTTCTGGAAGGTTACTGAAGAGATTAAAATTTAAGAAGAGTACTGATTCAGAAAGCTATTGCAACCCGACTGTAAAGAATGGAATGGACTAAGAAAGCCTGAGGGAGAGGTTTCCATCATCCAGGCAAGAGATGAAAGTCGTCTTCATTAGGCAAATGGCAATGAGAATGAGAAAAAGTAGATGATTTTGAGAGGATCATTATTGGAGCATTCATTATCAGAAATTATGTGATGTTAAGAGACCCATATTTAGAAGGTTACACAGAGAAGCAAAGATCATCCTAATACAAAATGGTCCCCTACTGACCACTGACCAAGTGAGTAACCATTCAGCCCTCAGAGAGAAGAGTGCTCACATCGATGCCTCACCAAGAATATCAAAGTTTCTCCAACTCTCAGATGTTATAAATATCAAGAGCACAACATAATTATAATGCAAATACAAAGCAAAAAAACTTTTTAAAATATTGCAAAGTTTATAAAAAATGAGCAATTTTATGAGTTCAATGAAAGTTATGTTGGAAAATATCAGAATTATATCAAGTCGAAAAAGGATCAGTGAGAGTTAGACTAAGAACTAAAGTAGGAAAAACTAAGAGAAATAAAAGCCACTTCAAAGGAGAATGATTTGCCTATATTTGGATTCAGAGAGGCCTTTGGGAAAACTGTTTAAACCCTGAAATACGTTTTGCAAAAATGCCCTACTTATAATCTTGCTGCAAAAGTCAAACATGATAAAGAATGCCATGTGTTTTTTTTTAATGACAAAAGTCAAAGAAAGTATTCATTTTTTTAGCCTAAGAATTAATACTTAGAAATAATTGTAAAATTATAACCTATTTTTACTAAACGGAAGATAAAGTGAGCTTTTTAAAGAAGTGCTTAGTTTTGTTCTTCAAGTTCAAATATTTTCAAGTGTCTATCAATGTTTGGTAAGTCAAGTCCTTCTCCTTCTAATGAAAAGTAACCTTTGATAAGAGCGCAGCCTAGGCAAAAGAAGATGGCAGTGAAGCCACCCTGGATTCCAATCTTGTTTCTGCCTCCATTGCCTCATCTGTAAATGAGAAACACCACCATTCACCTTCCGAGGAGTAAATGAGATGATGTATGTGAAGCACTTAGCATGGTACCAGATTTTCCTAAAACAAATTCTCCTAGCCATCAGCCTACGAATGGCTACTGAATAATTACTTAGGCCATCTTAACTATGTCAATTAAGTTAACAAAAGATATATCCTATTGTTGATTTAAACAGACTAAAGTAGCAACACTGAAACAACAGGACAATGAGTGTTCAGTTTTTTAAATCCAGGGAATAATCATGAATGATCGGGAAATGTTTCTGTGGAAAGTTTGAGAAAGAAATAAGTGTCTTGTTGAGATTTCTTCTGAAAATTAAACAAATGAGATTTCAAGGTTATTAACACAGAAGTACAATTGTTTCCTTAGTAGAGAAATGGTTTATAATATAAATGGTTTATAATATCTCTTTAATTCAAGAGTTATTAGAAGTAGTTTTAATTATCAAATTTTATTTATCTTCTTGTTTTAAATTTCAATTTTACTGCATTTTGGCCAAAGGAACTAATCTACCTGATTTTCTAATGTGGCAAAGTGTACTTAATAAAGCATATTCAAATGTTGTGAAGAGTTTTAGAAAGCGAAGTGAAATACTAGTAACCCTTTGAGAGGGTGTAGGAACTAGAAGAAAATCCTACTCCCTTTATCCAGTTCTCGAAACATGTCATGGACCAAGTCAAAGTTGTGTCCTCTACTATACTACTTGGAGACCTGTGTTTAACTCACCTTTATATTCTCAACCCCTAGTACAGTGAGTAACAGGTGTTCAATACATTCTTGACCAATGAGAAAAAAAGGACTCATAAAATTACTTCTCCATTTTAAAGAAATAAAAAAAAAAAAAAGAGTAGAAAAATATTTTGTTATGGTTGGAATTAAACTGTCACTAGATTTTATATCCTCTAACTCCCAGACCAATATCCAATTCACCAAGACTAGATAGAGGGAACTTGAAGACTGGAGGAAACCTGGGAACAGTCTTTCTTTCACCAGAACGCTTGTTACATGTCATTACTATCTCTCTCACGGAATCATTAACTCATGTTGTAATATTCTGTGTACATATCGTGTCTCCCTTAACTGGACTCTGAGCAATCAGAGGGCAAGGAGCGTCTTACATTTGTTCTCCCTGCAGCGCTTCGTACAGTTTTTTTTCTCTTTCTCATTTCCACTTCTTTCATTCACAACGATTCAACCAAGAAGTGATTGTGATCTACTCTGTATCCTTAACAGCTTTAAAAAGCTGAAAGCAAATTAAAATGATCATGAGTAGTCTTGAAGTTATACAGAAAAACAGGGTCCAAAATGTCAAACAAAAGGAGTCTGTGAGAAAGAGCGCAGCCCAGCTGAGTCTGTCAGACACTGAGAACTCGTTTTCTATGACTAACTCAGCTATCAAATTAGCACTGGGTCCATTTTTTCCCCAGAATCTCAGAGGCAATTGTGCAATTCGATGCGCCTAAAACTCCCACTGCTTCCAGGTTCTGGTCAGTCAAGAAGAAACCTATACTTAATCAATTAGAATTATGATTATCGAATAAGAGCCTAATGATTATCAATTTGAACACTGATGGAAGAAATGATAATTGGGAGGGATTAATATTCTACTCTTTATTCTTCTTGTTACCAACCACCAAGAATATGCCAGGAAGGGAAAAAATAACTTACTTTGAGCAGCCAAGTGAGAACTGAATCACGATAAGGAACAAATTTATTCTTGTTTTTGCCAGCACTCTGGTCTGCTAGGGCTGAGATAACCAGACCGAGGGTTGTGAGGGACCTGCATGGTGCAACAAACCGTAATAATCATAAAAAACTGAGTATATCAAATATCATGTCTTAGCACAAAGATGAGCATCAAGATGCCTTTGTACCTGCATGAGAATAGCACTGCTGTCAGCGTTCTGCAGCTGTTTAAAAACACATACGCTCTAAAGGCTGATATCCCTCTAATACTACCATAAGCAATAAAATTGCTTAGCTCAGTTATTTTTTTCACTTTTGTAAATAAAAATGTGACCTTTGAGTCAAGATAACGGCATAGCATCTGGATGGTGTTCTATGATCTCCAGTTGGTTACTGATGACTTGTTATCTCACTATGTATCCTTCTGGAAGCCATGAGAATAGAAAAGATTCCTGCCCACAAAAGCTGACAATTTAGCTTGAGGTAGAAAATATAACCATATGAATGATTTGGTGAACAAAACTTTCTGTGGAAAGTTTGAGGAAGAAACTTCGTAAAGCTCTAGCTTCTTGCAATAAATAAGCACCACAGGAGTCGTAAAGGGAAAGCCCGATGTGGCCAGTACCCATGTTGTTGTTTGTTCAGGGACACCCATGTCAAGATCAACAGCTAGACTCTGATAAACCAATGATCTTTGTCCTTTTCTATAGCTTTGACCAGTGGTTCTCAACTGGAGGTTCCTGTGTCCACCTGAGGGAGCAGCTGGCAATGCCTAGAGGTAATCTGGGTTGTCGCAACTGGGGTCTGGGAGAGAGGTGGTAGATACTACTGCCTCCTAGTGGGCAGGGGCCAAGGATGCCGCTAAGCATCCTGCAATACACAGGACCACGCCTGGAGACAAAGAATTACCAGGCCCCAAATCTCAATAAGGCTGCTCTTGAGAAACCTCTGCCTTGACCGAGTCTGTGCTCTTTAACCCCATCAGACATCTCACCAAATCATAAAATAGGCTCAAACCATAAAAAAATATATATCTGAAAAAATTCTAAATTATTTATTCATTACAGCCTTAATCAGTCGAGCATCTTATTCTTTTAAGAACCACAGAAGGTCCTCTATTTGGCTATTAAATCGATAAAGCAATAAAAGTAAGCTTCTGAGAAACGTACTTGTTGATGTTGCTCCCCTCCTTCAACCTGTCACCGGCAGCTCCAGTTTTTGTTGCTCGCTCGCTGCCAGCTAAATCGACCAAGCTCAGTTTGCCCACTTTCTCTCCAGATGTCTAGAAAGTAAATTGATAAATGCTAAAACGCGTTAAAGAATTCAAAAAGTGATACTGTCTCTACAGAATGCATTTAGTATCAAAATCCTTTATTAAAGAGTTATTTAATGTTATTTTAAAATGAGTTTGTGTTGCTATAAAACAGTATAAGAAAACTGTACAATCTAGTAGTAGATACAAAATTGTACAAACACCTCTACTAATCCAGAGTGAAAATTATCTCAGAAAAAAGGTGCCTCCCAATATGGGACATTTTGAAGGAAACTCAATAAAATTTTCATAGGGAAGTATACAAAATCACTTCTAAGATATAAATTTTAATATAATTTGAAACTATGCTTAAAATTTCAGGAATTTTTACCAATAATTCTAAGGAAAAATTATTTGCAATCTTACTGATGTAAAAAAATATTAATCTTTTATACAATATAATTCCTCAAAGACTCAATACTTTCTAAAATTTTTCATATTATTCATAAATTCCCCTATTTCATAATTCCAGTTATTAAATTTACATATTTTTCTAGTTAAGATATTACCTAGAGAGATATTTTCCTTTATCAGCAATGTTCTATATCAAATTACACATGTAACGTATTTTATACTTCAGCAGCTATATAAGAAATGTGGGAAACTAATGACAAAATCTATAGAATGAATCATTTTTTAAAACTTTCTTTTAAAATATACATTTATTTCTATAAATAAACATGTTGCTAACAAAAAGACATTCAGCTTCCCAGATCAAAAGTACATTTGGTTAAAAGTCTTCAGTATGTTTTTTGTTTTATGCAGAAAAGGAAATAAGAAACAAAGAACTTTTTGTTGTTGCACTAATCTTGCTGTGATGGTAAAAGAAGAAAAACATGCTTTCAGCAAATGAAAATCTTGCCAAAATATAACACTTTGCCAGGGTGATTATTTTAGCTTCTGGTATTTGAAAATTGATTCTCTAGGGGTAGGCATCAAAATAAAATATGCAAAAGTTTATATAAAGAGTTAGAAGCATACAACGGAGAATACTTTATTCAGCAAAGCTATCATTTTCGGGCAAAGGACAGATAAAGAGCTTCCCAGACAAAAATAAGCTAAAGGATCTCATCAACACCAAGCCAGTATTGCAGGAACTGTTGAAGAGACTTCTTTAAGAAGAAAAAACATGTATCAAAATCATGAATAAAGAATGGTAATAACTACATCTTCATCAACAAGTATGTCAAATGGAAAAGAGTTAAAATTAAGTGCTCCAACCAAAAGATAGGGAAGCTGGAATGAATAAGAAAACAAGACCCCTACATATGCTGCCTACGAGAGATTCACTTCAGATTAAAAGACACACACAGACTAAAAGGAAAGGGATGGAAGAAGATACTGCCTGTGGACCGAGAGGCTATTGTGCTGAATGAAGTCAGTAAGGTAGAGAAAGACAAATATCACATGATTTCATGTACATGTGGAATCTAAAAATCAAAATAAACAACAACAATAAAATGAAAACAAACTCATAGATACAGCAAATATTTTGAGGGCTACTAGACAGGAGGGAGGGTTGTGGGGGGGCAGTGAACAAGGGAAAAGGGATTAAGAAGTACAAATGAATAAATATGAAATAGTCATAGAGATATAAAGTATAGCATAAGGAAAATAGTCAAAATGTTGTAAAAAATATATAAGAGGGAAAAGGGGTACCTGATTTAGTGGAGTGACCACTTCGTGAGTTATATAGATCTCTAATCACTATGCTATATAATGAAAATTAATTTATTATTGTATGCCAACTATAATTGAAAAAAAAACCTCGTTGAAGTTATACAATATAAATATGAGAACTAACTGTCTATTATATGTCAATAAAGCTGGGGGAAAATTTTTTTTAATATTCCATTGTATGTATATATCACATTTTGTTTATCCATTTATACATTGATAGACATTTGGGTTGTTTCCACCTTTTGGTTATTTTCTTATGAATAAAGCTGCTATGAACAATTTTTTAAAAAGTTGGAAAGAAACATAAATGTATGAGTCAACAGAAAAGTTTTCAGTATGTAGAAGCATACACATCTTTGGCTCTGCTTACTCTTACAAGCTTCAAAACCAAATATTCAAAAAATTATTACATAAATCTAGCAATCTTATACTACTATTTCCCCAGTTCAATTTATTCCTTGTAATACTTAGTTGCTTAGCAGAAGATAATATTTCAAACGTATCTCCATGGAATCAGCTAGAGTATTAACATTAGTTTTTATCATTAGCCATCATAGTTCAAAAAGCAAAAAATGCTCTTTGGGGGAGACTTTGGACCATGAGCTTGCATAACTTCTGTTCCACCTTCCCTTAGTTGGAGAGGGTGGAGGGCTAAATCCTACATTTCTCAGGCTCCCTTGCAGGCCAGGGTTCAGGATGTGACTTAGGTTCTGTCGATCAGATATATTTGCTTAAGATTTAGAAAGCAGAAGTAAAGCGGAGGCTGTCCCTTTGCCCTTTTAGGGTTTTTCTGCCAGCAAGCAGGATAGTGGAAGGATGAGGTTTTCTGCAAGAGTGTCATAGCATACTCTCTCCAACTTCCAAGGTGCTAAGAGGCAGCTTCACCAACTCCTGTGTCCTGGATCACAGCTATGGGGTGTGCCTGGAACTTAGAGCTCACGGCATAATGGTAGCCTCAGAGGTAACAGCATCCTGGTCCATAAGATCTGTGTTGTTATGGGAGTGAGTACTAGAGATTCAGTCTAGAACTCGCTCCTCCTCAGGTATTCCAACAACTCTGTAATCACCCAAATCGCTTCCTTAAATTTCTTCTATTTACCTAGAGTGGCTTCTGTTTCGTGTCCTGTGTCCTAACTGATGCACACGTCTGACTGGGGCTTTAAGTCATCTAATACCTGAAGGGAATAAGATAAATCCTGACCCACTTAAAAAAAAAAAGTCATGCATCTGAATACCTACCCCAGACTTCACATCATACAAAGTATGCGTGAGGGTGATTTTGAAGACCGCATGCGATCGACTACTCTCCTCATTCATGTTGGTTGCAGCAACTGTACGAGATTTGTTACCCTCAGACATCAAAGACTCAATATCCTAAGTGAAAACAAGCCACAGACACACATTTCATTATATGTCTAATAAGTATTAAAACTCTGCTACACTACGAAAATATACTACAAATTTCACTATTTGGTCAACCATATTTGGTGTTTACACTTTTCGATGAACACTAAGCCCTACAGAGTACAATAGCCAATTCTGTCTATGAAAACTCAAATAAAATACATTATTTTATGTACGTGCAGAATAGAGTGGCAGCTCTGACTGAGAAAAGTTTAGAGGTTACATGTTGAGTCTCACAAGATGGACAAACATGTCATGCCAATCCTCATCTAATTTAGAAATTTTTAAAAATCAAGTTTCTTTAATTACAGAAGCAGTAGAAGTTAGCTGTTAAATCAAATTAGATTAAATGAATAAGCAACAAAAATAATTTGTAACCCCTTCAAGGAGGCAGAGAATTATATCACCACCTTGGAGTGTATCTTACCAGACCTGTTTATAAAAATAAAAACATCAACAGACTAATTTTCTGCACAGATTTACTACTTTGTTGCTATTATTGCTAAAATGGAGACAGCATGATGTGATATAGAAAGATCATGAGATCTTCACTTTTAAAAATGTTTTAAGCTCTAAAACAGTTACTTAACCAATCTGAATTTTAGTTTCATAAGTAACAATACAGAGCTACATAATCTACCTTACAAGGATTTTAATTAGGGACAAGAAAGATGATATGTGTGTCCACTAGTCTTTCCAGTAACGGAACCCAATCTTTAGCTGAGCACATTGCAGCAGAGCTGAGGGACATTTCCCAGATGCCCTTGCAGCCCAGTCTGGCCATATGACTAAATTTTAGTGAATGAGAGCTAAAGTATAATACAGGTCATTGGAATTCTCCTTAAAGGGTGTAGGCACACTATCACATCTTGGTTCTAAAAGCCATCTTTAACTATGAGAATAAGGGCATCACCATAGAGCTGGCAGGAATGTAGGTCTCTAATAGCATCTTAAGGGCTACCATACCAGACCTCTCACCATTCGTTCTTTCATTCATTCATTTATTCAAATATATATTGAAAGTACCTACTATGTGCCAAGTTTAAGATACTAAGGACACACAATGATCAAAACAGATAATAATTCATATTCCAAAGAACTTTTTTCTGTTACGTGAAGCCAAACATAATCCTGACACACACATATAAAAAAACTTTGAAAATCATAAGGTTCTATTTTGCTGTATAAATGAAAAAGAACAGTATTTAAGGAAAAATTCAACATGATCAATAAAGTTTCAAAGTAAAAACATTAACTGCAAAAAGAGATATAATATAAATAAGCTGCAGAATGGAAAAACAACAGCAAAAATTAAAAATCACAATTTTCTTGATCCACTCTAAATCCATTTTAGAGCTATGAAATCTGATAATTTTGAGGCTTAATGTAAAAGTTTATCCTATTTAGCCTACATTTATTCATTGGTCTCTAATCTGTTGTCTCATGCATGAACTCTGTATTGAGCCTTTTACATTTTTAAACAAACAAAATGTCTTTTTATATTTCCAGTCTCTGAGCTCTCAAAAATATCTTGATCTCTCAATGTTGAATAAATATGCTCTCGAAAGATCATTATTAAAACACCAACAATACCTAACATTTATATAAGTATTCTAGAGTTTTCAAAGACTTTTCGCATGCATTATTCCATCTGACCTCCTCCAGGAAGCCTTCCCAGATACCACTCTCCCCGGACACCTACATATCCATTTAAGTTAGATATCCCTCCTCCAGATAAACCCTGAATATGCATCTATCACTGCACTTATAACTACACGTTGTTTAATAATACTTTTTTTAACATCTGTAAGCATCTTGAGGAAATGGACCATTTTGTTCATTTTTTTAAAACCTCAGCACAACGTCTGGCATGTGATAGGTGTTCAAAAGATGTTTACTAAATGAAGTAACTACCATCATTCACGTTGATTAATGAACAAAGAAATGAATGAAACTACCTCATAAGATAGTCAAGATGATAAAACCAATTTCCATTTTAAAAATTAAGACAAATAGGCCTCATGAGATAGAGTCATACAGGAGTTGTACAAGAGAATTAAGTGTCACTAGATCAATAGTCTCTGACTCTTAATTCGATGTCCATTACAACACAGAGTGCCGCCCCACCCCCAACTCCCCAACATGCAAAGCCTGATGGAGTCACGCAAAGCAGAACTGTGAAGTATGAAAATGAAGAGAGCTAATTGAAGCCCAATGAGTGATTCTCTCAAATTAGAAACAGGCTCTGAATTCCACCTACTCAACTCGTATATTTTATTTCATTATTCAATTAAATCATAAGCAACTTTACTATTTTATATACTAGGGGGGAAAAAGCTGCCATTTATCATTTTTAGAGGCAATTGTAAGGCACATCATAATTTTAGAGCTCATAAAATATGAAAAAATGTGTCTCACAGAATAGGTATGCCTTGCAAATATGTACACCTTCTCTCAAAATTAAACTATCCTGACAGCCATATACAGCTTTTTAAGTAAACATTTTTGTAAAAATGACTCTTTTAAGTGATACTGTAATTTTTCTTAATTAAAAAAAATCATCACGAATTAAACAAAAAGCCCTGCTGTACTGAATTTAGTTAGGTTACATAAATGATGTTGTTACCTTATAGCTTGTGACAGCCAGTTTAGAAAGTCCATCGACATAGGGTCCCAACACATTGTGCTCTCTGACTTTTAATGTTTGACGGCTTCTGTTCATTAAAAACAAAGAAACAATTTTTAAATATCTTGTTTTTCAAAGGACTAAACTGTACTCCATAAAATACATACTGAATGCAACAAAGATTCCAAATAACTAAACCAACCGACTTGATCCCAGAAGAATTTAAACCAAAATTTAAAATCCTGACTGGTAACAAAAACTTCATAATGTGGTAAAATATCACATCACTCAAAAGGGTACACTGTGGGATGTCTATTTACTACCGCAAAGAATGCAGAGTCAAATAAATACAAACAATCTACTTGTCATTACACAGAATGTGGTACAAAGAGCAGAAACTCAATAAATGTTAACTGTGCAAGAAAGGAAAAGTACAGACCAACCTCGATCACAAATAAAGACAAACAAAAAAAATGACAAATAATGAATCTGATGATAATTTAAAAACTTAAAATTGGGTTTATCTCAGGGTTGCCAGTTTTTTCAAAAAAAGATTCATGGTCTTTACCACACTGATAGACTTAAGGGGAAAAAACCACACATGATTATTTTAATAAATGTAGGAAAAACATTCAATAAAACTAAACACTCATTCACAATTAAAAAGATAAACCTCTTAGCAAACATGGAACTGACAAACCCAGTAAAGGACATCCGCCAAAAACCTAGAGCATACAGCATGCTTAAGGATAACGACCAAAAATATTAAGTATTCATTGATGATTATGTGGCATGTGAATTACATCTTTAAACAGCTCTTTAAAAAATAAAAACATTATAATGCAGGAATATTTGTTGATGGTGAGATTACAAGTAAATCTTGTTTTATGTAATGTAATATTTTCTAGTTATTTGGAAACTTTTAGTACCCTGGAGTCATCCACTGAAAACTTTACTAAGCTAAAATTGTGCATAAAATAGATATAGAATAATTATTTAACTTAATTCTGACTTCAAGATATAGTCTTTTTCCTTTCTTTTTTCCTCTTTATCTTAATTAAGATAACATATACTGTATTATCTCCTGAGTAGAAATAACTACATTATTACACATAGTACATGCTGAATAAAATTAGTGCTTGAATAATAAAACAAAATTCTCTCAAATAGTGTTTCACTGAGAAGAGCTCACTTTTACAGTTTTAATCTATTTACTTCAATTCTTCAGAAACACTAGAAAAACCTCCAGAACCTTACATGGGGGTAACAACAATAATCGCTAACATTTACTAAGCGCTTATATGTACCACAAATGTTCTAAGACCTTGGGTATATCATCCCAGTCTTTCACAACAGCCCTCTGAGAAAGTATGTAACATTATCATACCCTCTGCACAAACGAAGCCGAGAAAGCATAAGGAATAATTAAAGGACCTGGACCAGAGCTAGGTAAATCCAAAGCCCAGGCTGTTAATTACTAAACTATACACAAGGAAAACATCTAAAAAATTGCTAAAGACTATGAAAAAAACTGTGAATTTAAAGCTATTCTACATAAGCACTGTGGAATACAAAACACAAGAACGAAGCCAGCTAAGAATTTCTGGAATGAGGAAGTCTGGTCTGGTCTCTAAGAAAATAATGGTCTTCAGAGAGGTGAAGGTACAACACAAGTAATTCAGGGCAGAGCCAGACTAAGTCCAAGGGCACGATACTCAGCAAGATGTGGGTGCTACCTAGGCCATACCGTTTTACCTTTGGCCTCCTTTTGTCCCTTGTTTTGACTTCCACGCTTACTGCCCTTCAGCCACATTGGACAGCTGAGTCACTCTCTGAACAAGTGATTTCTTAACACCTCCACGCTTTAGCACGGACTGTCCCCTGTGCTTAAACGGTTCTCATTCCGATTCTCTGTGAACAAACTCCTACTCTGCACAAAATTCATCGAGCATCTTCTGTGGAATCTTCCCTTCTCTTCTGGGCTAAGATACTCGTTTTGACTGAGCATTGATTCACTATGATTTACTACCTCCAAGACCAACTTTCCTCGATCACCTTCTTCAACCAAACATAACTTAAATGCCCCCACTTCGTCCCCACTTTATCCACACTTTCTGTAAGCCTCAGCTCATTTAACCTTCTGAAACTTTTTTTGTTCTAATTAGAGTTGACATTCAATATTATATTAGTTCAGGTATACAGCACTGGGTTGGACATTTATATATCTTACAAAGTGACCCCCCGATAAGTCTAGGGGATCGCCTCTGAACATTGTTTTTACATCAGTAAGCCACAGGCTGTGGTCATTATCTGCTTCTTTCTCTCCGTGTTGCACTGCCTTCGAATCTGAACTCAGAGAACTCTGTGCAATGGACAGACTTCTTCAGATATCGCTTATCTTCCTCATTAGGTTCAGATATCACTACAGAGAACAGGATTTTTTAAGGCTTTCTAATACTTCTGAGCCAATTCTTTCGAAGTTTAGGCCATAAAGCGGGACTTTTTCTCTCTGGGAATCTGTAAAATTAACTATGCGAAAGTCCTGCTTTCTTATCTCTAATTATGTCTCTCTCACTTCAGAGTCTGCAAACAAACAGCTGAATTCCACCTGAAATTTCTTGGTTAAAAAAATAATAACCTACTTGATTAAGGATATCAGTTATCTTGATACTAAGTAACTTAATTTTCATCACATATTTTTTGTTTGTGGATGTTATCTGAGAAAGGCAGTGACGCTCAAATATACACAGCTCAATGACGCTTCCCGCCCCAAAGTCCCCACCCTAAGTTCAACAGTCCAGAAATGGCTGCAGGAAGCCACTCAATGTAACCAACAACAAACCACAAAAACAATAACTAGGTAATCAGATAAAATCACAAAGACAATAACTAGATAAATAACTCTCTATTAGAGTTCAACATTAAAAAATTCGCTTAAGCCAATGTATTAAGTCTGTTTTAGTCCATAACTATAACATTAAAGTCTCAAAGTCATTTACCCTTTGGGATCAAGAAGGTCTCTGACTTTTTCATTATAAATTTCCATATAGGACACTTCTACTTTAAAACTCTGCTCTTCATTTTCCTCTTTCTGAGTTCGTTCAAAAAGTCCACTGCAAAGTCTTGGAATTAATCCAGGTTGGTCGGCTGTGCCCATCATGGTGTAAGATTTTCCAGATCCTAAAAAATAAAAATCATAGTTATTACTCTCTCTTTGAGAAGTTCAAATACATAACCCTCTTTCCAGTGCTCATAATAAATTACTAGCACTTAGCAAATGCCCAAAAGAAAATAAGAAATATACTCAAATATAAACATGAGACCAAATTAATAATTAAGTCAAAAGTAAACATCCTTTAGGAAGAAAACAAAAACCTTCTTTAATTATCTTCATACTTTAAAAAAAATTTACCTGAAACGACTAAAAAATAGTGTGGTCTGAATAGTTTTCTACAATTAACTGGGAAGATCCATATGAGCAATAGTATTGTGCCTGCTCCAACCACTAACCAGACCACAAAAAATGGATGTCATCCCGACAGGCCCCCTGGCCCCCGCCCCCGAGCAAAGCAACCTACTATACCCTTTGGCAGTAGGATAGAAACCAAAGAGTAATCTTTTCCTACTATAAAATTATTTTATCCATTGTATCAAAAATACATATTCATTAAATATAATTTAGAAAACACAGGATAATCGAAAAAATTAAATCACTCAGTCGTAATTTAAGTATAATTTGTCTTCCTTTGTTAGTAGCTGTGATTTTATAAACATATCTTTAATCATATAAGTTGCTGCTTTTGTCACTTGACACTTTATCGTTATCCTAGTACCTACGACTAATATACCACTTATGTACCAGACCTTTCCTAAAAGTTTTCACATATTAGCTCATTGTGACAACCCTATAAGGTCTATAATTATCAATATTTTACAGACAAGAAAACTGAGGTGCAAGTCTCACACTTGGCCAGCAGCAGGAACAGGGTTGGAGCTGGGATAACCTGGCTCAGAGTCCTTGCCCTTATAACCACTACACACACTGCCTCTTAAAAATATCACAAGCATTTTTCCATGAAAAGTAGTTTTCAGTTGAACAAGCTATACAATATACCCTTAAAAAAGTGACTCCTTCAAAGAAAATAGATTTTCTTTGCTGTTGACCACAGAGATACAGAAGTCAAAATGCTCCGTATCAATCATAATTGATGCAATGCTAATGATATTTATTCTTTTTGGTACTTTCTGTTACTATCCTTAAAGCTTAAAAAAATATATATTATTTAATATTACCAGTCTGTCCATAGGCAAAGATACATGCATTATAGCCATCAAAAGCATTTTGAAGAATATTCTCCCCAAGGCACTTGAAAACATCATCTTGACCTAAAGGTGAGAGAGAAACATAGAGAAAAGGACAAGATGTCTTAAGCCAAAGAAAAAACAACAAAAAAAAGCTAGATAAATGTCTCAAAATGCACTTTTTCTCGGCAGCCTGTTTATCTCTAAACAAGATATTTAAACTTGATGAATACTTCCAAAGGCTTATATTCTTCAGGTTATTTCTAGTTAACACATGAGAAAAACTTAGTAAAAAGTTTTAGGTAATATGAATTTGAATTAATAAACATTGACCCAAAACCTTCTGCAATGCAAAAAGCTAATGAATTGCTGATTTTATAAACTATGATTATAAATATCTGAAATTTACACTTAGAACCTAAGTGGACCTGAAATTAACTACATACTACTCAGCTAATATTTTATTCAGTGGGTACTAGAGTTCAAAATAATCATATATATTAATCCCTACTCCTTTTCCTTAACGATAATTTTTTCATTTGGAAACATTTTAAAAAATTTTTTAAACAAGCTGGTAAGAAAGAAATGGCCTTACCAGGCAGAAAATACTGCTCTGGGACAAAATTTCAAGTCTCTTCATAAGAAATATAGCTGTGGTTAAACTTATGGGTGGCTTTGTTTTGCTTCCGTCACTAAATGTTTGGAACCAGTGATGACTAGCAGCAATTCTCTGGGGACAATTTTTCCCCTCAATGACAATTTTAAATTACAGGATCTACAATGTATACCAGCTAGGAGAGGGTGGAAGATCTGGGAAATTTGTTCTAGCTTTCAATGGTTGACATGAATAACAGGGTCAAATGCTCCCCCACGGGCTAAATTAAATATGCTAGTAATCAAACGTGACCCTGGCAAGTCATTCAACTTCCTGAATTCTGAATATTGTGACAATACTGTGATTTATATTTCAAATCTGGTCATTGGAATGACCAAATATATATACTTCTTATATAAATTTGGTCTTTGTCCACAGTTCCTGGCTCACAGCTCCCAAACCCTTAGAATTTCCTAAGCGTTGAGAGTTATCAATGTCTTTTGTTATGTTAATGAGGTGACTGTAGGACTGCACCTACGGATGGGGGCTGGTTGCCAGAAGAACCAATCATGTGATTAGAGGGTTGGAACTTTCTATCTGGCCTGGAAGTTGAATCAGTCATCAACGGCCAATGATTTAATCAATGAGGCTTCCATTAAAACCTAAAGGAAAAGGGTTCAGAGCGCTTCCAGGTTGCTGAACAATGGTGGATTGGGGAGTGTGGTGCAGTAAGAGGGCACGGAAGCTACATACCCTTTCCCCATACCTTACCCTTTGGCTGTTTCTGAATTATATCTTTTTTATAATAAACTTACATATCTAGTAGTAAAATGTTTCTCCGAGTTCTGTGAGCTGCTTTAGAAAATTAATCGAACCCAAGGAGGAAGTCATGGGAACCTCTGATTTATAGCCAGTTGGTAAGAAGTACAGGTAACAACCTGGGCTTTTGCCTGGTGTCTGAAGTGGGGGATGCCCGTGAGGGGCAGTCTTGTAGGACTGATCCCTTCACCTGTGGAGCCTGTTGATGCTATTTCCAGGTAGGTACTGTCAGAATTAGGTTGAATTGTAGGACACCCACCTGTTGTCTGCAACATTTCTTGGTGACAGTGGTTGGGAAAACCCTCCCCCATCGCAAACTGAAATTTGGACCTCGACATACTTTAATATAAAGAAATATACCATGTTCTCTCTAAACTTGCTCTGGAATTCTATTACTCTCTTATCCTCCTCAATGATGACTGAGCCCCTTTACACACAAGTTTAGGACTATAGTGATAGCCTTTTGTTTTCTTCATCCCTAGCTGCTTACAACATTTGTTTCTAAGCAATCTCTTTTAAATATTGAGTGTCATACTGTACTGACTTCTGTCAGGAGAAACAGCAGTACTACGGCTGTTTCAAAAAGTTAAGGTTAATTTGGTTTAGCTGGCCCAATGATGACTTTAAGGAATGCTTTCGTATCGGAAGTATGATGATGATATACTAATCTGATAAATTAACTAGGAAGTAAGACATAGCAGAATGCTATTTATAGCATTTAAAACATTAACAAACATAATAGCATCCAGTCCTTACATATTATATTTAAAGAGAGAACCCAGAACACTGAAAACTGAAGTGATTTACTCCAAGTCACAGAGGCAGTCAGGAGTAGAGATCCTGTTAAAACTCAAGGTTTCTTTTACTTCTTGCCTCTTCTTTTGTTACATCAAGCTGCCCCTCTAGACCATGTCACAGACATCTAGGGAATCTAAGTGGCTACTCTGTGCTACTGGTGCCATGTAAGCCCTGGGATGCATGTAAGAATACCTCCACCATGTACCCTATTCATCTAACTTCATCATCCTATACCAAGAATAGCACACTGCAAATCTCCCATTTCCCAATCAATGCAAAAACTCAAACTCTAGCGAAGATTGGAGGTATTGCTCTATATGGTTTTTAAAGTTACACAAAATAATACTATGATACTTAATGGAAAATATATGATAACACCTTCTTTATATATCAGTAGTTAACAGGATGCTGAACACTTACCTGCATACTTTTCTCTGACAGATTCATCCATAGACCAGAAACAATGATCATATGCAAACACCTGTTGAAAAATAAAATATAGTGTATTAAGAACAAAACTTTAACATACTTATTTTATAATAATGTCATAACATTGATAACATTGTTCATAACAGTGAAATAAAAACAACTTATTGTCTCGCAATGAATATTAAATTATTTATGATAGTCTCAGCAATGCATAGCTAAGCACCCTATAGATGATATAAATCTTTATTTCACATGGAAAACTTCACAATATTAAGTGAAAAAAGAGGAGGTTACAAAATAACATGTACAATATGAAGCTATTATATATACACATACATGCATAGTTACGTATATAAAGTATATTTGTGCATAAGATTAGTGATCTTTGTTTTCTTCTTTATGCTTTCATGTATTCTCTATTTTTACTACTCATCAGAGAAAACAAATAGATTTTTTAAAGAATAAAATATAAAGATAATTACTACAGCATGTTAAAAATAACTGTAAAATAGCAGATTCTTTAAATTTAGCATGCCCATGTGCAATATTGAATAGCTTTAAGATTATAGAAGACTGATAAGAAAATGTTCATATATTAATGTAAAAGTTATGAAAGTCTGGACCATGATCCTATGTTGGCACAAAAACCTATATAGATAAAAAGTAGAAAGAATATACATTGAAAATACTGATAACGGTTAATGATAGCTGGTGTGATACCACAGATGATTTCTGTTTTGATCTGTTATGTTTACGATTTTCTAAAATATGCATGTTTTGTAATCTTTTAAAAGTTTTTTCATTGATTTTTTATTTTTGGATTTCATGTTTTATAATTTAGTCTCTTTAAAGATTTTAAGTGTAACTGTTTTTAAATTCATTTCAGCTTTCATTTCAAACTCTTCCACTTTCGGAGTTTGTTACTTCACTTCCTGAGGACAGTTTTCCTCTTGTGTCTTGCAACTGCATCTGAATTGGGAGTCTGTATTTTATGGTTTACATGATTGCTAGTATTTTTCCTCTCCCTTTGGCCACCTTTACATGACTACGTTGCCACTCTCAGCTACTGAAGCCCAGATTTTGGTCTTCCCAAAGACCGGTGTCTCTACTCCCTCCTAGTTACACAAACATTAGCTCAATGTTGGTGGCCAAAACCCTTTTTTAAGTCTTCATTCATGGTGGAACTGCGCCCATAATCAGTTTTCACGCGGGGAGCTCCTCCAGTCCTCAACCAGACATCAGGACCACCTTTAATCCCTAAGAGTTAAACTTCCAGTCACCTCCAAGAGCCTGCATCTAAACTCCAGGCCCAAGTAAATATGCTGCTTCAGCCCCAGCTTGCTGCTAGTCCCCGAAGTTACATATGTCATTCTTTAATATGATGGTGCGATTTTAATATTTTAAAATATTTTATCTGTTCTTGCTATGAGTTTGGAGTTGGCAGGAGAACGTTTGTGTGAACTCACAAGGCTATCTGGACCAGAGGTCTAAAAGTTAACTTTTTTAACAAAGAAAATTAGATTATGATGGTAAATTAAATATATATACCTATATCCCCCATCACACCTGAAATTAACTCAAAATGATAGAGTGTGGGAGGAAAGGGCCAAAGGCAGAAAGAAAGAGGGAAAGAAGAGCAAGTTCTTGAAAGCAAAATTTACTGCTTGTACCTGGATCAGAAACTGAGAACCCCTGAAAATAGCTGCAATGAGACCAATGGGGAGTGAGGTGAGATGGGGTGGGGGCCTCAGCAAGACGTCGCGTCAAAACACTGTGGAAGGAGGTGGCTGCAAAGAGCAGTTCTGGGAGTGTACCAGAACAACTAAATGAGCAGGAGGGAACCCTGGGGCAGCCAGGATCAGAACACCTCTATCTCTGTGCAAAACAGCAGACAGGGGAGGCATGTGTTCCCTGGAATGGGACAGTGATGGGGAAGCTAGGCCAGAAAGGCAAGCAGAAGCCCAATGGTTGACAACATGCAAGAGGCAGGAGCCCTGGAGCCCAGAAGCTACTACCCAGAGGCAGTATTATGTGGTACATTACTGATCCCTAACATCTTCCCAAAGCTAAATATATATCTATCAATAATGGCGGTGGCTCACTATGTTAGCAATTCTCTAACAGGGAGGGAGGAAAAGGAGAAGGAAGCTGGAAGGTGGTCCCAAAGGACCGTGTATCGAGATTTTGGGTAGGGCTGCTTTTCAAACTATATTTATCAGCCATAGTGAGAATCAGTTTAGCAGGATGAGATTAAATAAAATGTGAAGCTCAAATTAAGTTTCTTCTGTTATAGCTTTCGACTCTCACCTCTGATCAGTTTATTTAATTCTGTTCTTAATAAGGTTAAGTAGTCTACAGTCATGCCACCCTGAACAAGCCCGATCTCATCTGATCTTGGAAGCTAAGCAGGGTCAGGCCTGGTTAGTACTTGGATGGGAGACCACCTAGGAAGACCAGGTGCTGTAGGCGTGAAAAATAAAAAATAAGAGATTGCAAGCTGACAAGGTCCTTGCAATCTGTGAGGTCAACCAAGGGGTGCCTCGCTAAATAAATAAATAAATAAGGTTAAGTAGAAATCATCCTGGTTCTTCTCTTGGAAGCTGAGCTCTCACTTCAACAGTCTCATCACCATATGTGTGCCCTTATCAAAGGTCACGCTTCTAAATGGCACTCCTCTCTCTCCATTATTATGGGTTTTTTTTTTCCTTTTCTTTCTCTTTCTAATTGAGGGATTTCTTAGACAACTGCATATCTTATTCTCAATTCCAGTAGAGAAGATATCATGAAAGTAAGGGTAGCTGACACTCCATGCTAGGCCACTGAGTTACAAAGAAGTTAAGAACTTGGTGACTAGCAGGAGAGGAAACTGGGAGATGGACCCAGCCTTTGAGCCTGTAGTCTGCTCATCACTAAGCTAGATTAGCTCTACTCCCCCAATTATATGAAAGCCCCACAACCTGGTACAAAGTTGGAAACTAATGAACACTTAGCTCTTTTTCTCTCTCTCTCGATAATTTTTATTTTTCAATTACAGTTGGCATACAATAGAATATTAGTTGCAGTTATACGACATAGTGATTAGACATTTATATAATTTACAAAGTGATCACCCAATAAATCTAGTTATATAACCACACAGTTATTACAGTATTACTGACTATATTCCTTATGCAGCCCATGACTTTACGTCCCGTGACTATTTTGTAACTACTCATTTTTACTTCTTAATCTCTTCCCCTTTTCACCACTCCCCAAACCCCTCCTCCCATCCAGCACCATCAAAATGAAGAACGCTTAGTTCTTCTTTACAAAAAGACTGAATAGTCCTCTTTAAGTTTTAGCAATTTTATAAACTATTTACAGGGCTCTTCCAGCCAGAGATTTCCTAAAGCAGACATGCCCTTTCTAAATAAACATTTTCCTTAAAAATTTAAAAAATAAAATTTTTACAAGTAACAGAGAAGAAATACATTCACTGTAGCAAATTCAAATAACAGAGCATAGAGTAAAAACTAAAACCTCTCATTCGCCAAGCACACCACTCCCTAGAGGTAACCGCTATGCTAATGTGGTGTTGGTCCTACCACAGTTTTTACATCACCAGATTTTCTCTAAAAATTAAGATACAGTTGAATTAAATGAAGCCTGAATAATTTTTAAATAGTCACGTGATATTTCCTTACATCTTTACTGTAATCTCCAAGCCCTGTTCCATCAAAAAACTAGAAAACAAAAATAATCCAGCACCTTTTCATACAAAATGATGAGATAAACTAATAAAATTAGTTCTACATATATAAAGAAATGAGCACCATATTAAACTATTTTTTAAATTATTCAGAGTCCCAAATAGCCATGTGTATAACATATTTTAGCAATAATAATAGAGAATGGAATTACAATTCAACCACAGACTCTATAAACAAAAACGAAATTCCAAGAAGGGAGATAAAAATCTGAATTTCCTAGAAGGTTCCAAGTAACTTCAGAGAATAGTCAATTTAAAAATACAGTCCTTGTGCCCACTTTGGCACACCTATGAACTCCCTGAGAGATGCAGGAACTGATGAGCCCCACTGAAGTTTCTTTAGAATCTGGGCTCAAATTTAAGATAGAAGCACGTTCCCCTGAGGAAGCTGTGGGCCAGGGCGGGTTCTGTTGGCCTGAGAATGTGTCCCCAGCTGTCTTGGGAGAAACACGTATGAGTCTGCCTAGCCTGGTCCTGACTGCAGTTTGGAACAACCAGTTTAGAGCCAGTCCACGGTGAATGGCACAGTGCAAAAGGAATCTCTGTTGGAGTTGCCAGGAGACTGGCCAGAATTGGTCAAAGTTCAAATACAGTTTTTCCACAAACCACCCTCCAATCCCTCTTATGCCAATAATGGCTTCTGATTCATAGGCTGACAGCTTGCATTACTTTTACAAAAGTGACAGAGAGAAAACACTTTTGAGAAGAAAACTGCCAGTACTTCAAAAATATGCACATAAGCTCTTTACGAGCATCGCATAATATACCAAATCTCTTACCTTTGGCTGGCTTCTGAGTTCCCCAAAGAGATGTCATCGTTGACATGTAAGAAAAGGCAGAGGGTTAAAATAAAATTTTTTAATTTAGAAGACTCTTTTTGAAGAACAAAATTATAATAAACATCATGTAAATTTTTATTAATATAAAATATTAACTATGAAATCAAACAGCAAATTAAAATAAAGGATCAATTAATATCTATTAACTGGTAGGGTAGCATGCTAATTATAGAAAACTGACTGGTATCTCTCAGATAAAAGAAAGATTACCTGAACAACTGGATAGTTTTTAAAGTCTTAATATATCTCCCTTATACATTTTGCTTATCCTTGTATATGTCTTGCAAATATATTTTTTAAAATTCTTTACTTTTTTTATCATCTGATTTCACTTCCAAGTAGTTTTCTCTGCTTTGATATAGCAGCAGCTCTTACTCTCTCAATATAGGCCCTTCCACGCCCCCCACAAAAAAAAAAGGGGAGGAGGAGGAGGAGGAGGAGGTGGAGGAGGAGGAGGAGAAGAAGAAGAAGAATCTGTTGTTCTGGCTAAGAAAAAAGGGTTTAATTAAAGGAACAACTAATTTTTTTTGCCAATGAATTACTATTTGCTGAATTACTCACTTATTACTTATTTTCTATGCTTCCCTGGGTGCTTCTAACCTCCCTCCTTCCAAAACTGCTACTTGCTTACATCTCCCTCAGGGTACAGGAATATAACTCCATCCAATATAATTCTGAGATAGTTTCAAACTTAGAGAAAAGTTATAAGAAGAGCACAAAGAACTCCCTTCACCCAAATTCACTAGCTGTTAACATTGCCACGGCTGCAATATCATTCTCCCCTGCCTCCCTCTCCCCTCCTCTCTATGTAGATGTATATACACACATATTATTTCTTTCTTAACCATACTGCAGATATGCTCTTCAGCCCTAAACACTTCAGTATATAATCCCTAAAATCAATGATATTCACTTACATACCCACAGTACAATATCAAAGTCAGAAAATTTAATAAATGAAAGTGCTTTTAAAGCTAGAATGAAATGAGCATAGCTGGTCTCTCAGAGGATCAAACTGGCAACTCAGACCTAAAACCTGCAAGAAAACTGTACATGGAAACACTTCCTTCCAACTTTCTGCACATCTTCTGAAATACATTTAGTATTTTATTTGTATCAAATGATTTCAGACAAGAACACTAAAATGCCAAGGAAAGTCTAGCAAATGAGTGACACTTGTCTAAGAGATTTTGGAGTAATAGTTGATGTGGCTAACACATAACAGAAAATAGTTTCTCTGGAATAAGAGATATGGGAAAACTTCCCAACAAAAATACTTGTGAAAAACTGGTTGAGGATACTGGCATATGCTATCATCTTTTTATAGAACTTTATAAGCAAAGCAGATTCTCGTCAACTACAGACAGCTTAGTTATAAATCTAGCTGGAGGTCAGAACAGAGTCAGCATATGTGAAATGCCCACATTAGGCCTGGTACGTTGCATGCTACTTCATTTAATTCTCACAATAACTTTGTAAGATGCTATTATTATTCCAGTTTTACAGATGAGAAGTTTAAGGCTCAGAAAGTTAAATGACCTGTTCAAGACACAATGATAAGCGCTGATGGATCTAAGATGTAAAACTAGTCTTCTAACTCCCAAGTCCATGTTCTTTTCCTCTCCCACAAGAGTCACAACAGCCTCGTCAAGTTTCTTCTAGACTTAAGAATCTATGAGTCATATATTAACACTGCTCCTGCTAACAGAAACATTTCTTAATGTATTAATTTCCTCCATTCTAATTATTACCCAGTAAAAGGTGACCACTGGGTACGTATGTAAGTTTACTTATTCATTATATTTACAAAAACTCCGGACTGTCTTTTCTGAGACAAAAATAAGATGTGTAGTATATTTCAATTTAAAGAAAATATTTTAATATAAAAATCAGCTCTTCCTAAGAGATGATCAACAAACATAAAATTCAATAATATACAACACATAGCAGAAGAATCCACGGGACTAACCTGAATCCAGAACATAATAAAAACAGAAATGAACCAGTGAATTAATTACAGAGCTCAGTTTCCAACTAGGGAGTCTGGTGGCTACAATAGTAAAGCTCAAATAACCCAGAGAGCCACTAGAAACCCAAAGATGTAATTACAGCTCTGCACAAAAATAAATAAGTAAATTAATTAATTAAACAAAACCTTTCAAAGTGTAGCTGCAATCTAATCTGGCAATACCTCGCTTATCCCAAAATCCCTTAAGATGAAACCTCAGCTATCCAGATCACAGTAGAGATTTAGTAAGGGAAGAAAAATACTCCTAACCAATCAAAATAGACATCACAAAGTAAAAGCATGAAAGTCTAAGTTTGTCAGCTGAGTTGAATTACTTTCTGTTGTTGTTGTAGCTTAACTTCATTTTGAAATACTTCCAGACTTACAAAAAGTTCTCAAAATAGTACAAAGAATTCCTGTGTACCTTCACCCAGCTTTCCAAAAT